TGTCATTTAAATAATAATCAAGTGTCTCAAAAATTTGTTTGTGACATTCTAAAATACGTTTATAAAATGTAAAAAAATGACCGTTCAATTTAGAAAATCTTCATACCATTCAAAAAGATGTTTGTGACATTTAAAAAAAAGGTTATGCATTTTGAAAATAATGCTTATGACATTACTATTTTATACAATGTAAAAAATGTTTGTGTAATTGTGAAAATGTCTCGTACAATTCAAGAAATGTATGTGGCATTTTTTAAACTGTTCATTCATTTTTAATAAATGGTTCGTATACTTACAATTTAAAAAGGTTTGTGTAAATAAAACAATATTTAGTACTGTGCAAAAAATGTTAGCACAATTTCTCTAAAAATGTTCCATACAATTTGAACATTGTTCAACGTGTATTGGAAAAAATATATTTAACATACATTCTGTAGTGTTCAAAACATGTATTCTAAATTTGTATATCATACATTTTTTAAATGTTCCACCATGTATATGAAAAATGTACAATGTCTATTGAAAAAAGTAAGCATGTGTTGAGAAAAAGAAAAGGAAAATGAAAAATGAATAAAAAGAAGAAATTCAGCGAATAAAAACTGGATTTTTTTTGGAAACTACATGTAAGATTCTAAAACCGGTCCAAACCAATCATAGAAGCTTCCCAAACTCACTTCCCTGGAACCCATATTGGGCTGGCCCTTGTAGGATCGCCTACTTGGGCAGAGGATTGTCTCGCACTGCGTGAGACATAGCTCTCGGGACAAAACCAAGGTGATGCCTTTGTCTAGTCGACCAGTGACTTCTTTCATGTCCTTTTTCTCTGGTTTTCAGAAGCTTCTAAAAGTTCTTTGTCCATTTTTTTCTTTTTAGTGTTTTTCTGTCGGTTATACCAGTCTTCTTCCGTTTTTCTATTTGTTTTCATGTTAGTTTTTTCTTGTTTATATTTAATAGCATTTTCTCAATTTTGAAATACTTTTCAGTTTATGAACATTTTTTTGGAATTGGGAACATTTTTAGTATGCATGAGTATTTTTTAAGGGTTTTTATCATTTATACCCCGGTATCGTATCACAATCACTTTTATCATCATTATCTATCTTAGTTCGATCCTTAGTTATTTTGTGATTTAGAACAATAAACGTTTAGTATTGATTTAGTTTCGAGTGCTTGCTTTGTGATCTACCTATCCATGTAATCGTGTGTGAGAGTTATATGATAAATAGTAGTTTGAGTTTTGCTCTTTACTTTCTTGTTTCAATCTTAGCAATAAAAATGAATAAAAGATCATGTGCTAATTCCATGGGGAGTAATAACTTCACATAGAAAGAGTACGGTTAATAAAAATTATTGGAAGTTAACAAACATAGCATTGGTCCTTGATGCAACTCATGCAAGATTAATAAAGAAAGAGAGGATTCACATATAAATATATATATTATCTTGGGCATCTTTATGATTGTGAGCCCCCATCAAATATTTTCTGCTTGGTCAAATAGTTGATGTTGGACAAGGAAGATAACGTAATGAGTTATGTTTGCTTATATTCATATGGAAGTTATATTTTCATGAATCCTCTAACGTGTGGTGCTTGCTAATAATCTTTTGCTAGCCAAAACTTTGTACTAAGTAGAGATACTACTTGTACATCCATAACCCCTTAAACCTAGTTTCTTGTCATAAGAGTCCACCATATCTAACTATGGATGTAATAAGATCCTTCAAGTAATTTTTAGTTGGTGCAAAAGCAATAAAAATTGCTCCTAAATATGTATGAAATTTTATTATAAGGAAAATAAGCTTTGTACGATCTTATGATGGCAACAAAATAAAAGCGACAGACTGCATAAAAAAGGTTGCTATTATAAGGGGCAATATAAAGTGATGTTCTTGTACATTAAGAGCTTGCACATCCAAAGCTGAAAAGCGCATGACAACCTTTGCGAAGGGCCTGTCTTTTACTTTGTATTTACTTTTATGCAAGAGCCAATAGTAATTTTCCTTATTTCATCCTTATTTATTCTCCACTTAGCAAGCATCATGTGGTGGGGAAAGATCCAAACACATATATCTAGTTGGATGTATGAAATCATAAGTTATTACTATTGACATTACCCTTGAGGTAAATACATTGGGAAGTGAAAACAATAAACCTCCATCTTTCTATGTGTTTGAAAGAAATGTTTGTGCCCAAAAATATGCCTTAGCAATCATATATAGAAGATTATATGATGGTTAAGTATGCGGACTTGCTAAAAAAATCTTACATAGGCTCTTCTTGGAAATACGATCAATTGTGATTATTTCAATGACTGAGAACATAGTTTGTTTGTTTTCAAGGAAGTTTATGATTCATACTTCAGTGTTGTGAATGAATTGTTACTTGATTATGAGAAGTTATATGATGAATATTTGAAGAATGGTGTTTTGGTTCTCGGCCTCCATCGAGACATTTTTTTGAAAAATTCAAAATTCGAAAATTTCGGTGTCAAAAAAATCTGAATTTTTTTGTACAAGTAAACAATGATGTGAGGCGTATGTGTGTAAAATTTCAAGATGAAATACATTGAAATGCGAACTGTAATAAAAATAATAATTTATGGTCATGGGTGATGAATAGTATCATGTGTTAAAAAGGCCCAGATTTGTCTTTTTGCACATCCCTCATTTCGACGTATTTCGTCCTAAAAATTTACACACTTATGCACTATGCTTTCATCTATCTCTGTATTTTTCTAGAATATTTTAAAATGTAAACAAATGAATTTTTAAGAATTTTGAATTTTGCAATTGGACGCCTCCATGGAGCTCGACCTCCAAAAGCAATTTCCAGAATATTTGCTGCTATAATAATGATCATGATGCTACTATGTTCGTATTTGGTTTTTATCAACACCTCTTTCTCTAAACATGTGGTCATGATTATTGAGTTCGGTTTTCGCTTGAGGACAAGCGATGTCTAAGCTTGGGGGAGTTGACACGTCCATTTTGCATCATGTTTTTCTACTGTTATTTATAATGTTTTTGGTCATTATTTTCACTTTATGATGCAATTCTAATGCCCTTTGTCTCTTAATTTGCAAGATTTACATGGAAAGGGAAATTACCGGCAGCCGAAATTCTGTACCTAAAAGAGCTACAACAGAGATAGTTATTCTACGGAGCTTCAAATGACCTGAAAGTTCACGAGGATTTTGTATTGAATATATTAAAATTATTGGAACAAAGAAATACAAGAGGGGATCCACTTGCTGCTCACAAGGCAAGAGGGCGCGCCCACCCCCAGGGCATGCCCTGATGCCTTGTGGGGCCCACAGCTGTCCTCCGGTGTCCATCTTCTGATATATGAAGGCTTTTACTCTAAAAAAAATAAATAAGAGAAAGACTTTCGGGACGAAGCCGCCGTCTCGAGGTGGAACCTGGGCAGGAGCACTTCCCAACCAACTCTGTCAACTGGTTGCTCAAAGAGTACAAGAGTAACACCCATTTAAGAACCGACATTGATGACAAAATAACTTAAGTATAAGCACCAGATAAACATCACAATGATTGACATTTCAAATAATGAAAGAACTGAATATACGTAGTAGAATTAAAGTTCTATGTTTTATAGTAGCATCAAATTTGCACAGGTACAAACCATGTAGTTTATCAAGAACTTCAATTCCTTGATTTGCTATGTATGCTTCATTTGCATCCAAGATAAATGAGTAGACCGGATGGACAAGCCTCATAGCGTTCAGAACTGCCATACATATCTGAGTTCAAGTGTTTCCCCCTACTTTTATATTCAAGATTTGAAACCCTTGTCCTCATTATTTTGCAGCCAATTGAGTGGCTTCATCTCGGATCACCATTGGAATCTAGTTTCATACATAACCAAATTTAGCAATTTCGATCACGCAAATCTGTGTCTAGGCAGGGCATTGGCCACGTCCCAGAGCACCGCCCCCGGGGCGGACTGGGTGGATCATACTTCAAACGCGGCAATGTTTTGTCTTGGAATTTTTTATATGTACTACTCCCTCTGTCTCAAAATAAGTGTCTTAACTTTAGTACAACTTTATAATAAAGCTAGTACTACAAAGTTGAGACCCTTATTTAGAGATAGAGGCAGTATGTTTTAACGTCATGTGTCCAACTGTCGATCTACATGTATGGCGATTTCGTTATGGCCGATATCGAGTACTGGTTCATTGTTGTGTACACAAAAAGTCATACTGCCTCTGTCTAGGTGAGTAAGTCACCTTAGGTTGTGCACCGTGACCAAGGAGGAGGGAAAAACGAGAGACTTTAATGTTTATTTGCTAATTAATAGCATTGCATGCAATGAACTAACCACTGCATGTCGTGTTTGATAGTCTCAAGTCATTAAAAACATGCACACCCTCATCTCTCATTGATTGGTATGTCAAAAACCAAGAAACGAGGTAGAAGTTAATGTACCGCGCCTAAGTGTTTTGGGATTATTTGGTTTTCATAAGATGACTTACACACCTAGACGGAGGGAGTACTAAATGTTTTTCAAAGAAGACAATAAATCACGAGTTGTCCATGGCTATATCCAGTATGCAACACCACAATGCCAACACAATTTATTCCCGCAATTATCATGGCTATACGCTATTTCCATACATAAAGTGGTAAATGACTTTCAAAGAAAACAATAAATCGTGAGTTGTCCTTGACTGTATCCAGTATGCAGCACCTCGTTAAAGAGCACAGCTATCAGCGGGCCTCCCGTGTTTGGAACCTGCCTATTAGCACACGCGCTTTGCATCCGTGGCGATTACTGCGCCTAAACCCCCTAATCACGCGCCGATTTAATGATATTCATAAACGTAATCTCCAAGCACCCGTGCACTGCTCTATATATAGAGGGATTCCTGAAGACCCAGTGTGGCATAAGAAAAACATCTCTCCAGGAGCAGCAAATACCAGTGCTCCCTCTACCTCTCGCGTTACCTGTGGCAGCAAGCAACAACCGCGCGAGATCGACCATGGCGACGGGCCACCTCCGTGCCTTCCTGGTTTTCGTCCTCGTGCAGGTCTGCCTGTTCCTGATGATGGCCGCATCGGCGAGGGTGCAGGCCAGGCCTATAGGCGTGGCCGGTATTCCCCAGTGCTGCCTCTACCACCCCGAGTGCTGCCAGCGCCTGACGGCGGAAGCCCGGCGCCCCGCCGCCGTTCTTTTCTGACGGCCTCGCCTGTGGGGTCGCTCTCCTCCCTAGAACTGTGTCCGTGAAGTGATCACACATTCTACTGGATCTTCATACATCGAAATGATTCTGCTGCTTCTCATGCATCTAAATATGTTTCAGCACTTTTTTCTGGTGATTCCAATCATGTTGTGGTTTTAAACCTTTGGGTAATAAACTGGGAGGAGATTGCTGTCAGTTCTGAGCTGTTTTGTAAATTTTGTTTTAGTTCTCATTGTTTTGAGTACCGACGCTTTGACCCGCGTCTAGACTTTATTTTTCCATAAGGGCATCAGATCTATATCATCTATGGATCAAACAAGCAGCTAGAAACACCGCCCTCGACGTGTTTCTCCTCTAGGCACTGTTGAGCACGTGAGCGGCGCCGCAATTTGGGTCGCGTGCGACCATGTATCGAACTATTTCGGTCTTTTCTCTGCCGTGCGCCGCAATTTGGGTCACGTACGACCATGTATCGAACTATTTCGGTCTTTTCTCTGCCGTTTTTCTTTTGTTTCAGACTTGCTTAAACTTATAAGTGCCTCCATTTAAGGCCGGCCAGATGCCTTCTATCTAAAAAAACCTAAAAGAAAAATGTTCCTTTGGGGGTGATTGTCTCCTTCCTGGCGAACGGGCCAATGGTGCACTGCCCACAGCTGTGTCTCCATCGTCACCAGCGTGTTATTGACGATCATGGATGGCAAGCCACGTTCCTGCCACCCCGGAAGATCCATGGATAGCAAATATTAGGCGTTGGTTTATATAAAACGAGTTTTTACCTGATTTTTAGCAAAACCAGTTTTACTATTTTTTCTGTTAAGAATCAGTTTCTATAAGACTATGTTTGGGTTGGAAAGTGCGTTTGACAGACCCTTATTTGACAATGATTCAGACTATTCCTATTCTGCGGTGATCTTCCCATTCTCCGGTCAAATTCCGTCGAGGTACACAAGTACAGTAGAGTGGGCCCACCGACCTCACCGGACGGCCGCATACAGGCTCATGTAGAAGCTAGGTACCGAGACAAGCATTGGATTCATTTGATCCGCCTGCTGCCGAACGCACAAAATTACTGTCGTGAGCACGCACACATATGTAGAACCTTGATGCGCAGAGCAATGGCTGGATAATTCTATCGGCCGGCTGCAGAACGTACTAAACGGCGGCGTGTGCACGTGCATGTAGAAGCTAGCTCCCGGGGAACCAACTGGGTCGATTTGATACGCCGGTTGCGGACGCATGTATGCGAATGCTAAGGAGCTGACCTTGGCGGCGACCACCAAGATGGACGACGCCGAAGAAGTGGTGGCCGGTGGCCGGCGGCTAGAGGAGGACGGCCTCGATCTATGGCACACCGAGGAGAACTCATCGCGGTTGTCGTCAGTCACTCGTGTATGTAGATTCTAATTATATGGCTGATGAAGATGCCCAGGAGGATCGGTGAGTAAAGATATACGAATCACGATGGGCTCGAGAGATATAGGAATCGCGTTTATAGAAAAATGACTAATAGTGGTTTTTCTACAAACCCGAAATTTCAGGTTTATGGGAATTCAGTTTTGCATATCCATGGATTAGTTGAAAGTGCCAAACGTGGTTTTAGTCGGTTAAATCATTTTTCTGTTTTATATAAAACGGATTCTCTATATTCCATCTATCCAAACAACCCCAACCTTCAAAATAATGCATCTGTCTCAAATTACTTGTTAACGTGTACTCCTTCCGTCCGGAAATACTTGTCATCAAAATGAATAAAATGAGATGTATCTAGATGTATTTTAGTTCTAGATACATCTTCTTTTATCCATTTTGATGACAAGTATTTTCGAACGGAGAGAGATACATCCATATGTACGCAAATCAAGGCCAACTCTAACCAATCTTCTATAACCGGTTAGAGGAGTAAAAATCCGATTTTACTTCTCTAACCGGGACCTAACCGAACCCCTAAAACTGTTAGAGGAGTAATATTTTTCCTACACCACTTATCTTGTGCCTATATTTACTACATCGCTAGGCGGTGGAGTAAAAATTCCTCACTCTTCTCTTCACCGCTCTGCCTCTCCTCCTCCCCCATCCCCATCGCCGGTGACCCCTCCCCCACTCGATGTTCCCTGCCACCTCCTCCTCCCAATGACCGGATCCCGTGGCTGGCGGTCCCTGCCACCGATCCACAATGCGGATCCGTGCCGCCACGAGAGCTCAGCGTTCTCAAGCGGCGCCTCCTGAAGCTGCCACCACTGCAATGCTACGGGCTCGTCGGGCCGCCTCACCGGCTTCCCCGAACTTCCCACGTCGCGACAGCTTCAGAGGAAGTATCTCGATCCACTGGCGCCGGGGGTGATGAGCGTGGTTGTGGCTAGGGGGGCCGGGATATGAGGGAACGCATCGCGGCGGAGGCCACCGACGAGGTATACATAGTGGACCTCCGCCACCAGTACCACGAGCTCGTGGAGGCGGAGCGGAAGAACTTCGCGTAGCGCGCATGTCATCGTCCGCTCCTCTCCGACGACAATGAGCACAACAGCAACGACGGCGGCAAGGACGAGGAGGACTTTGACATGGAAGAATGGCGGTCCTCCATGACTGCGGCGACGACGGCACTGGGCTAGACCCCACGGGCGTGGGGTGTCGCGAGCGGATTGGCTCGCCCTCTACAAGGGTGATGATGTTTTGTTTAGTTTAAATTTATGTTTAGTTTGAAGTTCACGTTCATGTTTAGGTTTAAAAACTAGACTATGTTTCGGCGGATGATTATGTTTTGAATTTCGGTTGCTAAAATTGAACCTATGTTGAAATTTGGTTTGTACTTCGTTAAACTTACGAGTTCGGCCAGGTCCGACAAAAACTTGGTCGAGTAAAAATCCTCCACTAAGTTTTACTCCGCCGAATTGCTTCTCTTTTTTAGGGGTTAGGTTAGAGTTGGCCTAAGAGCATCTACAACTAGACGCCTCAAACCGGCCACGTATGCCCGGGCGGGCCGCCCGGTCACTGTCCGGTCACTTTTTTTGACCCAGACAGCCTCCAAATGACCCTCAAACGTCTGGGCTGACCGGCACCCCCCCCCCATATCCATCCCAAATACGGGGCGGATATGGGGGCGCCCGAGCGCACCTGGGCATTTCCCGCCATGTCGGGCCTGACAGCCCGACCCCACCCCAAATTGCACGAAATCTACCCCCACGAGCCGTCGATCCATTTGCTATCTCCACTCTTCTTCCTCCTCTACGTCGTCCAGCTTGCAGCTTCGCCGCCGTGTGCGCTCCGCAGCCATTCATGGCCTCCACGCCGGCAGCTCCGGCAGAGCAGTCCTCTCTCCCGTCCTCCCCGCAAGGGACACCGTCTCCAGCGCGGACGCCACCGCGGTATCTCCGGCAACTCTCTGGATCTGCCTTGCGCTTGATGTGTTTGACATATTGTCTGACCGGACTTTTTGTAATTTTGTTAGGGAAAACGATGGATTTCGATGCTTCGTCGGATGAGGAGTATGGACCAACGGAGCTTGACAAAATCATTCAAGATGAGTTCTTCGATTTCTCGGATCCGGATGAAGAAGTGGACATGATTATGCTCATGAGCATGCAAGAGGAAATGGACCGCCAAGTGGAGCATATTCTCAATTTCAAGGGCTCAATTAAAGGAAGAAGAGTGATCAACTGGGAGAGGGTGTCCGAAGCGAAGCTACTGTACAGAGACTACTTTGCTCCCAAGCATGCTTTCCCAAATGATCCATGGTTGTGTCGCCGTTTTCGCATGCGGAAAGCATTGTTCTTGCGCATTATGGAGGGAGTGGAGGCACACGACGACTGCTTGATCAAGCTTACAAGCGATTGCTGCGGACAACTCTCTTTCTCTGCCAAGCAGAAGTGCACAACTGCTCTGAGGATGCTTCACTTGGTACTGCTGCACGTTGGTGAGATGGTCAGGATGGGGGCACATGCTTGAAGACTACTGTCAAGTTTGCCCGCGCCATGGTGGAGGTGTTTGGACCTGAGTATCCCAGAGAACCAAATGTGCAAGACACGGAGAACTTGTTGGCTATTGGACAGGCAAGGGGATTTCCAGGAATGCTCGGGTCAATTGATTGCATGCATTGGCAATGGAAGAACTGCCTCAAAGGTTTGCGGGGAATGTATCAAGGTCACACCAGAGAGGCCACCATCATACTAGAAGTGGTGGAATCACATGACTTATGGATTTGGCATGCTTTCTTTGGAATGTCGGGTTCTCACAACGACATCAACGTGTTTCAACGATCTCCAGTGTTCAGGAGACTTTGCAATGCGGAATCACCGCTGTGCAACTACACCATTAACGGCCGAGACTGCAACATGGGATACTATCTTGGCGATGGTATCTATCCTCAGTGGTTGGCGTTTGTGAAGACTATATCTGAGCCGCGTGGCAAGAAACAGAGCCACTTTGCAACATTGCAGGAAGTGGATAGGAAGGATGTGGAGAGGGCATTTGGTGTGCTTGAAGCTCGTTGGGGAATTATGCGGAGTGCTGCAATGATATGAGAATCAGAAACTTTGCGGCAGCTGATGACATGTTGTGTTATTCTGCATAATATGATTGTCGAGGGAGGGTGATGGTGTAGCTCAAACCCATGATTTCGAAGCACCTGTGGAACAAGTTGAAATCCTGAAAAATCAAGATGCGGCTCAGTTGATGAACTTTCTTTAGATGCATCAGAATCTTCGAGATCAGCAGGTGCACACGCAACTACTCAATAATCTTGTGGAGCACATGTGGACCCATAATGACAACCAAGAAGCCAATGCTTGAGTTTGGCACTTCAAATAAATTTTATGTAAACACTACCTATGCTTCGTACCAACATTTGCTATTTACGTGCGACATTGCCTTGTATAATCAACCTGCATGTATTTGCATGGATTTGAGAGTCTGGATTTGAGATATGTGGATGCTGGGACGGAAACATGCGGGCCTGTCTGGATGCCCCCGCGAGCGTGTCCGGGCACGTCCGCAGACGTATA